AACTAGAGGGTAGAGCAATTGTCTTCCTCCCCTACAACCCAATGCCTCCAAGTAAACCACTGTTTCAACATAGCACAGTAAATGCTGAGAATGACATCAGCAAGAGTGGGTTCCCACTTGGAAAGGATACCCCAGTCCCACATCCCAAGTGACATTGTCCTAGCCCATGAGCTCACTATAGGAGACGACAACACCTCAGATGACATCACTTCAGATCACATCACTCCAACTCAAGAACTTGAAGTTTGAGGTGACTTTACCCCTTACACCAAAACCTTGGCCACAGCAATGCCCATGGACTGCCTCTCTTAAGGCACTAATTGGACACATTTATTACGTCTCTTCCTTTGATATTAGAATCCTACTATCTTTTCTGAGCTCTCTATCTGCTTAGCCCATGATCCTGGTCCTTGCACTCTGCTAAAGCGTACACCCCTACACTCCATGTCTAAAGGGAAATCTAGTAGAGTTTATTACTGCCTGTGCCATTCCAAAAATTAATGGAGATTATTGCTTTCCCAGGAGGCACCGGCCTCATGTTAATCAGCCCCTTGAGCCCCTAAGTAGAGGACCACCCACTCCCCAGTCTCTTCTCCTGATACACCTCTCCAGTTTTCCACCACGATCGCTTGTCTTGCATCTCTATGACCATCACAAACACTCCTTCCTCTTAATTACACGCAAATAGCATTAATCTTTACATATACTTTACTAACTTATCAGTTCATACGCTCCAACAACATAACTGCCGGAGCTGCCACCTTGAGCTGAGCACGTTTCTAACACACTAAAATTCTACCAAGATATTGTAAGAGATCCCCCAAATTTCAGATTTTTTTCATTGCTAATGACATATAAATAGAAAATCTATTTATGGGCCAGCCTACAGGACCTTCTTATACCTCTACTGGTCTTTCTCCTTTTTAATCTCATGGTAGAATGTTCTTCTGGGACAATTACTGCCTTCTACCTAAAGGCCTCCATTATCATCACACCAAAGTTTCCTTAATATGATGCCAAAACATCAGTGAATCAGTTGTATTCATCATATTTTTTACTTTCTGTACATTATTATGTTTTAACTTCTTAAAAATCCTTTCTGGCTGAGGAGAGATGCCCATCCTGGGGCTAGCCAATTCTTAGAGACAGCAAAGGGCCCAGTCTGGAGCATGCCTTTGATATGCAAACTAACTCATGCAGAGCCAGGCCTCCTCCATCTGGCCCATGCACCCCAGGAGGCAGTATTGCTCTGCCTTAATCATCTTAAGGCCAGGCTACCAGGCAACTATGTAGCACACTTACAGGTCAAAACCTGTCAAAATTATTCAAACTAACCAATCCTAAATTGTTCACCCTGTGCATTCTTGCCTTTTCCTCTGAAACCCCAATAAAGGCTCCTGGTCCAGGCTCTTCCCTGGCTCCTGTTTCTGCTTCCTGACCCAAACCCAGTATTCTTTCTCTGGCCCTACATGGCAAGCTGTGCCTCTTGTTTCTAGGGGAACTGTGCGTGACAAACATTTTCTTTCAATGGCATTGACTTCTGCATCATCATCTAGTCACCTTTATAAATTCAGACCCAGCAGAGAAAAACTGTTAATAGGTATTTTAATATATTTACAGAGTTAATTTCATCAACTCTGTAGTTGATATTCCAAAAAGTTTTTTTTTTCCTGTGGGAATTGAAAAGCTTATTTGAAAGCCAATATTAAAAATAAACAAACATACGGCCCAGAATAGTGACAACACAATGTAAGAAGAAAGCTTTATATAAAACTTTTCATAATTTATTTGTTATTACCACAGGAAATTTTATTTAAATGTAGTTAAGCCCAGAACAGATAACTGGGTCCTAAAAAGTGTCTGCAAAAAACTAAAAATTCCTATATTCCTACACAGAGCAGGGAACATGTTCTTGAACTTGCACCAGAGTATCTTGAGGAAGAAACAGATACTTGGAGGGGTAATATTAGCAGTAGAAGATCAAAACATTTTAATATTTTCTTCTCTTACAGAAAACACTGTTCTTATATTTCTATTTAGAAAAAGTTCAGACCCAGCCATGTTGGCTTAGTGGCTAAAGTTCCATGCACTCTGCTTTGGCGTCCTGAGTTCGGTTCCCGGGCACAGAACCACACCACTCATCTGTCAGTAACTATGTTGTGATGACAGCTCACATAGAAGAACCAGAAGAACTTACAACTATACGCAACTATGTGCTGGGACTTTGTGGGGGAAAAGGGAAGGAATAATGAGGAAGATTGGCAACAGCTAGCTTAGAGCGAATCATACTCTGCAAAAAAAAAAAAAGAAAGAAAGAAAAATTTCAGACCTGTAGAAATACCTGAATAATAGTTTAATGAACACCAATATACCCTTGAACACTCATTTACTCATCCTGTAGATTCACCTCATGTTTACATATTAGCAACCCCCCCCCATTTGTCAGCCCAAAGTAGTTTTGTGTTTATCTTCTAAGAATTTATTCTTTTTTTATTTATTCATTTATTTTTTGCTGAGGAAGATTCACCCTACCTAACATCTGTTGCCAATCTTCCTATTTTTCCTTTTTTTGTATGTGTGCTGCCACCACGGCATGGCCACTGACAGAGAAGTGGTATAGGTCTGTGCCCGGGAACCAAACCCTGGCCACCAAAGTGGAGAACACCAAAATTAACTACTAGGCCACTAGAGCTGGCCCAGAATGTATTCTTCAATATTTAGTCTCATCTTATATATTATAAATATTATATGTTATATATTTATTCTTATATACTCTTTTTTCATGTTTCCTGTCTGTTTTCCTTAAATAGTCTAAGGCTCACACGGGACAGGTTTGTCTTTCTTGTTTCCTGACTTGTCTCATGCACCTACAACAGTGCCTCAAACTCAGTAGGCAGTCATAGAACATTTATTAAAGAACTGAATATAGATAACACCCCAGATTCCACATCCGTTTTTCCTTTTTACTGTTATGGGTACTTTTTAAAAGTCCTTTTTAACCATACTTCCAAGTATTGATCAATGTTTTCATAAATGAAAAAATAATCAAATTTCTAAAACAAAATCGTGGGTGTCCAGGTTCAGCATAGCTACTGCTTGAATAACTCTATCTCTTCCCAAACTCTGGTGTATCCTGTTCAATTTTCTTTAAGATTTTAACCTTTTTTTTTTTTTTACCCTTTACCGATGTTTTCCCAGAACTATCTGGCACTATCTTTGACTAACTACATAGTCATTGTTAATGGCTTTCAGTGATTTTCATTTCACAACTTATTCTAAGCTAATCTCAACTCCCCATGAGGACACCTTTCCTGCATTAACAGTGGGAATGATAGTCACTTCTCATCAAAGAGATGAGATCTTGGTGTCCCAAAGCTTCCTCTCAGGGATCTTGTGTCCCCTTTGCACATATCCTCCTACTGTGAACACTATAGACATTGTCCTATTCCAAAATGACATTTGGTAAGTGGCTTTTCTCAAATACTTCTCAGGTTCCTAAAAGGAATTGAATGTATCTAAGGGTATGGAGTAAGAAATATATAGATACACCAGTGTTCCTCAATGAGTTGGACACAATCACTGACTATACAGGCAGGAGAGACATTTCCTTAGGAAGCAGAAACAGAGTTCCAGCTTTGTCCTCATGCTTCAGGGCAGTCTAACATCCCTTTTTGATCTTCTCTGTCCCCTCTCTGTGTGAAGTCTTTTTCTCTTGTTCCTGATCAGACATCCTGGAACTCACTAAGCTGACTCACTTTTCAGGCAACAGGCACTTGAAGGGAAAGAAGTAATATTAGTTAGGGTCCACCTAAGAGTAGACACATTATATGTCTGAATGATACATCCCTTTGGATTTGTAGTCATTGGGAGCACCTAAAATAATACTTTTAGACACTGGGAGCGTGCTTGGCTTCAAGGAATCTTAACATCTGTAAACACTTAGGTGATCAGTTGCAGACAACACTCCCCAGAAATCTGAATACAATCCTTTAAAGAGCAGCAAAGATCCCATCTCGCCCTCCGAAGCTGGAGATACTGATACCAACCCTGACATCAGTTTCCCTATATTAAACCCGGCATACATGGGGTTAAAACCAAAACACTCTTTCCCTGCTTACTCTCCAGCTTCCCGCCTCCAGAATCCACTGTCCTCCAAGGAGACAGACACCGCCAAGGACAAGCACCTGCAATCGCTATCTCCTCCCAGCAAAGAGATACAGGCTGGTAGGAAAGCTGCTGATCAGCAAGGTCATGGGCTCCCTCCTCTCTGCAAGTAATCTCAAGGCCAAATACAGTCTGGTGTGAAAGCTCTGACCAGCAAGACCATATGCTCCCCTTCTCCTACCTAAAACCCCAAATAAAACCCCTTCCTTTTAGCTTTTCAGGGAGTTTGGGATTTCAACGTTAGCTGCCCTCTCTCTTTGCTCAGCAGTGTGCAATAATAAAATTCCTACCTTCTTCCACTACCCCCAGTGCCAGAGATGGGCTTGCTACGCAAGGGGTGAGGGAACTCACTTCAGATTCTATATCAATACTACATTCCAGATCCTCTCCTGGTGCCTCTTCCCCTATAGGTCGCATCAGCAGCGGCCACATCTGGGCCCTTTGAAGGGTCAGAACTACATTACCCAGAGGACGCTGCGTGGGCGCCTTAGGCGTTGAGCCAATGAAGCCTCAAGAGAGGGGCATTTCAGTGCGTGCGCATCGAGTTGCGGCGGGACTTTCGTCCTCCTCCGCCTGGCGGTCATTTTGGTTGCTTTCTGGTGGATTTACCTCAGTTACCCGTAGCCGGGTGGGAGCTGAGGTGCTGGACCGAGGAGGCACCAGGCCCGAGCCAGGGAGCGCCGCGCCCGGTGCCTCGTCTCCCGCCGCTCCGGGCCCCGCTCCGCCCCCGAGGCCGATGGCGGCGGCCGCGCGGAGGGAGCCGGCTCAGGTGAGCGCTCGGCTCCGGCCCGC